TCTGCATGATAGGATGGCAGCTAAATTGCCCAGGGATGAGTGATGTCAAGCTGGGAAGACGTTTTCCTGATCACAAGTGCTGACATATCGCCGCCAGAGAAAGCTCAGACCTCTCCTCCTAGCCTGGTGTAGTTGGAGAAATTGTTGTGATTCCACCCCTTGTGACTAGCTGACACTGAACAGGTCAGAGATACTTTTGACCTTCGTTGAAATGCTTTGGAAAATTACAGGATCTTTAATGCTCTTAGACATAGACTTGAGTTTATAACAGATAACATATGAAGGCACAATGCAGACTTTTGTATATTGTATACCATAAAGAGTGCCATTGTATATTAAATCACACCCTGTATGAGCATGCCTTTCATTTTACAGTCTGTTTTACAAAGAAAATTTCTGCTACTGCATGGGGCAAATGGTTTTTTTTTTCTTTGGGGGGAGGGGTTAGAGGGAGGAAACCACTAGGGCTCTTTATGTATTAAAAAAAAGTAAACAGATATAACATAAAACAGTGGTTCAGGCCAGGCCAAAATCTGATTTAATCAACATTTAACAGAATTAATCTCATTTCTCCCCGTGAATGTAATCCTTTCCCCTTTCTGTCCACCAAAAGTGGCAATTCCCTGGCAACTTCTAAAGAGGCCCCAGTGGCTGCATGATCCAAGACTTTCCAAATTGTGCTTCTTTAAGCCACAAGCCTTCTCACTGAATCGGTCACCGGCAGATGCTGCTGCAGGTTTCTGCAGGTAAGAGCCTAGAGCAGCCCAAATGGGTGGCCTGAGCACGCCATCTCCCATTCCCCGCTTGGAGTTGTCAGTTATACGGCAGTCCACCTGCAAGCTCCGGCAACGTCTTCGGAATGTGACCTCTGTGCCCTCTTTTGCCTCTTGCAAAGGATCAGGCTTCATGCCACCCCATTATGTTATAGCCCATGGCAGGAATCTAAGGGGGAGGGTTTGGTTCACCCAGGAAAGTAGATTGTGTCTTGGCTGCAACTAAACAAGCCCACCAGGAAGGAAGCTTATTAACAGTTGTGGACAGACAGCTGGTCTTGTAAGGTAAACTCATCCCCTCTTGTTGCCGCAGAATGCCGGTCTCGTGGCAACCCCGTTGATTGGACTTGCTTTTAATTACTCTTGTATGTAAAGAGCATGGAGCGAAGCAAGTCCTCTCTCTCTAGAATCACCCTTTCCTACAAGAAAGACGAGGTGCCCAAAAGAGGCCCCGCTGACGTTCTTGGAAAATGTAAAGTGTGGCTGGCCACAACTGAGCCTTTGTTCAAATTGGCCCACCTGTTCAGGTTAAGAAAAAGACATAATTTGAGGGCAGTAGAAGGCATTCTTGGCAGAAGAGGAGCATCAGAGCATCAATTCAGCCACTCCTGGTTCAGTGGAGCTCTCTCATGTCCTGAGGTGGTGGTAGATGTGGCCCTAAGTGCCACAAACAATAATGCTAAGGTGCCACCAAACCACTGTAAATTAACTCGCTCCTCTCTGCACAAATACCAGAAATGTTGTCCAGTGGTGGGATTCAAAAAAGATTTACTACCAGTTCTGTGGGTGTGGCTTGGTGGGCGTGGCTTGGTGGGCATGGCAGGGGAAGGATACTATAAAATCTCCATTCCCTCCCCACCCCACTAACCTGCTTTCCAGCTCCCTTCTCCTGTGCAGGGCAACCAAAGAAGACCCAGCCGATCAGCTGGGACTCGGCAGGCAGAGAATAGATGCAGGCAGGGCCAGTCAGAGGTGGTATTTGCCGGTTCTCCAAACTACTCAAAATTTCCGCTACCAGTTCTCCAGAACTGGTCAGAACCTGCTGAATATCACCTCTGATGTTGTCTCAGACAGATGCAGCCTCTGGGCTGAGTCTGTACGAAGAACAGTGGTGAGGAATGGAGACCAAGTGGCATCAAATGCATATGGCATCTTCATACAAATGAAACACATCAGGTAACTTCCTTTGTGTCATCATGACTATGCATTGTCCCCAAGGATGGTGTCAGGCATCTTGGAAAGTGGAATAAAATGGCTGCCAGAGGATGCAAAGTCAATGCAAATTCTAAGAGAAGAGTTGAAGAATTGTAGCAATTATCAGAACATATGTTCTGATCTAAGATAATGTTGACCCAGAGTTCTATTCCATGTACTCCACGTGCTTTGGTGGCTAACAGGGTGCAGTGTTATGGAAAGTGTGCTTCTGCAGGTTGGAGTCCCAGGCATTTAAAAGAAAACAGAGTTGGAAGGGACCTTGGAGGTCTTCTAGTCTAACCCCCTGGTCAAGCAGAAAATTCTATACCATTTCAGACAAATGGTTGTCCAATCTCTTCTTAAAAATATCAAATGTTGGAGCACACACAACTTCTGGAGGCAGGTTGTTTCACTGGTTAATTGTTCCCCTTGTCAGGAAATTTCTCCTTAATTTTAGGTTAGTTTGGAGCATTTCCCCAAGCATGCCTTGGGATGGGGGGGAGAGAGAGAGAGAGAGAGAGAGAGAGAGAGAGAGAGAGAGAGAGAGAGAGAGAGAGAGAGATTGCAAGCATTTGTTTTCTCAGAAATAGTTAAGCTCAGAGAGATAGAGAGGGGAAAAAACAAGCCCTGAAGACTTTCTGGAAAATTCTGTATCTGCAGACAAGAAACAGACCAGGCTGGTAATGTTGCTGTGACTTGGCATCCATTCAAGACAGCACATTCAGAAGGGCCTCCGGTGCGCTGTGTTCCTGGGAAGAGAAAAATTCAGCCAGGTCTGTTGCAAATCAGGACAGCCCCCTTTGCCAATATTTTCAGTTGGGTTTTTTTGGAAGGGGGGGTCTCCTTCACACTTCCCTCCCTTTGCCATACTAGCACAGATAAATAATCTGATAAATGTATTAAATAATGTGACAAAATTGCACCAAGTTCCCTAGCCCAAAGCAAAGCGGGACAATCCATTCGTTGATCTAGAGAAGGTTACTTTAGTTGTTATTGCTCTGGAAATTTGAACAGTCAGCTATTTATTAAGGAGAGTTCCATGCTAATTTTATTTTTACTTAAAGTATACAAACACTAAACTGTATTCATTTTCTTTCTTTCTTTCTCTTTCTTTCTTTCTTTCTTTCTTTCT